GGAATCTTGGCTTGGCAAAAACTAAATGTTTAAGCACCAGGAAAGTGTTCAGTAGTAGAGAATAATTAAGAAGCATCCTATTGTTTTGTAGAAATACTTCTCAAAATAGCAATTGCTTTTGCTTTTCCTTATTATAAAAATCATAAATATTATAGAAAGTCAAATTAGCATTCCTGTATTAGCCACATTGATGGACGATTTATGAATTCATGGGTAAACTTTGTAGTATAGCATAGAAGGGAACTGTCAACTGCGCATAATAATGCTAACACTATTTGCATTTGTGACAGGTAAAAAAATCAGCTACCTAAGCATAGCAAAACAGACCATACTGACTCCTGCCAAACTTTCCAGTCCTGTCTCTCACCATTCTCTCACCAAAACCCTATGCTATAACCAACTGTTGCTGACAAAACCCACTATCACTCAGTACATCTCTATAGCCTTGTGCACCTATTATGTCTTCCTTGAAGAAAATAGCTTTCTGTTTTCATAGAACTTCTAATTGCTGCTAAAGACGCTATTTTCCTTTGCTTCCTCGGGGAAGCTGCCCATGACGATCCTCTACCTGGTCAAAAACTCTAGTCTGACTCAGGCATATCATTTCTGTGCTCTTCTGTATATACCTCTGTAAATATCACAATACACTGTAGATCCCTGATATTCATGGATATATAATCTGAAAAGTTTGGCCATTCATGAGTAAGACTGCCTCTTCCGCCCCAAATTTGGGACACTCAGACATTTGCAATTGTACTGAGGTATTAACACAAAACATGCATACCACAAGACTGGTATGCAAGAGGTAGTCTGCTAGTGAAGGTCTCAACTGAGAACCCAGGAATAGCTTAACAAAACTCGCTCTTTTTCCTTTTTGAATCAGTGTTTCTCAAACTTTTTAAACTGTGACCCATAGTAGTATCTACTGTTTATATCACCACCTAGTATACATTTACATATATAAACAAAATGCAAAAATACTCTGCAGGAAATGCACTTTATTATTATTCTATTCTCCTACACCCTTCAAGTTTGCTGTAACCTCTGAAGAGATTTTCTAATTAAGGAAATTAAACTTTGAACAAACAAAAGACCAGGTATAGTGTTTTGTCACTCATTAAGCGATTAAAATTTTTATTATTTTATTATTTTATAAAATAATAAAAAACTTCTCTTGGGCTACCAAGAGAAATCTAACTATTAATGTTGTAGGCAGAAGTGAAAAAATGTTAATATTTAAGACAGATAAGCTCTGCGCCAGGATAAACAAAAATCTTTATCAACGTCTTTAGGTATATGTATGCAATCATAAGAATCTAAAGGGGAGTCAGCTAAGTGTTTCAGTTATAGCTGAGCTGTACTTCATGTGGTAAAACACATGCTGTAGTAGTATTCAGGAATCTGGGGATTCAGCCATTTCAGGACCATCCCTTAAGAGTGCTAAGGGTGGATACTGTCTTGTAATTGTTCGACTTTAAATTGTTTACTTCACAGTGCCTGGCAAAGTGCTCAGTAAACATCTGCCATATGGGAGAAAGGGGTTGTTTCAAGACTGGTCAAGGAGATGAAAATTAAAGTAACAAGGAGAAATCATTCTTCATCCATTTTACTAAACCAGTACTTAACAACTAGACCAGATGTTTACTGAAACTTTATTGGTGCAAAGAAAGTAGAAACAAAGCAAAAGTCCATCAATTGTTACATTAACTTTTATATATTCTTATCATGGAATAGTATGCAGCAGTTAAAAATGCTTTTAAAAACATAATAGGAGACCCTGAAGGATTTCTACTTTACAATATACTGCATATGTAGAAGAGAAAAGCAAAAAAGTAAAATGCAATCAAATATGGTCCCATTTTTTGTAAAGTACACCTGTGCATGTATGTTTATACACGATTATAAGAACATGGAAAAAGCATAGAATAGATACTAGGAGGGACAGAAAGGTAGCCATCCCCCAATACACACATTAAATGTCAACAATAAAAATACTCTGTATGACACAGTCCCTCTCATAATCATGTGTATACAGCAAAGATACACTCAAAGAGATGCATGAAAAAATAAAAATTTCTAGCACATTTTCCAGTAAGAAAAAAAGTAAAAACAAATATCCACATGAATAGATAGAATGGATTAGGTGATCTAGGTTAAAATATAAAACAAAGAACATATAAAAAGATGGTTTTTTTTTTCAATATAGTTTTTAAAGCATGGTATTTGATTTCCCTGCAATAATTGGTACTGGTTATCACTCTCCCTCCTTGAAACATTCACCTGTTTTCCATGATACCACACTGGCTGGTTTCCCCCCTGCTTGTTTGGTCCCTCATTCTCAATCTCTTGGGGCCTCCTACTTCTTATTTGTCCTTCAGGGCCCTGTCCCTCTGCCTACTCCTCAGTACACTCTCCCTAGGTAATTTAATTTGTTTACAAGGCCTCAATTACCATCTACAAGATAACAGGGCACTTCGAAATCAGTTCTTCTCCTGAGCTATAGACTTGCCTATTTATAGACCTACTGGAAATCCCAGATGCCTAAAACATAATCCCAAACTAAACTCGTTTCTTCCCTCTCAAATCTTTTTCCTCCTCTGAGATCGCATGTCAGTAAATTGGCATCATCAGCCTACCAGCTGTTGACTCCCCACTTCCCTCTGGATTAAACGAAATGTACAAGTTCTGGCCTGCATCTTTCCATAGAGAAAGATTCGGGAAAATTAAGAAGACAGAAATTGCGCAGATTGAAGGCACTTCTAAAAAGTCACTGTCCTCTACAGAACGTGACTTTCTCCATTGTCTTCCAGGCCCCTGCAGGAATCCAATTCCCATCATTCTTCTCTGGCGCGGCCCTCCTCCTCTCTGGACAGCAGGGCAGGGCAGGACTGGACCCAACACCAGACCTAGGCACCGACCTTTAGCTCAGCCGCCAAATGAAAGAAGAGGTCGCTCCACTTCCACCTGCAGGTAAGTTCCCCTCGCTGCAACCCGCGAAAAAACAAGTAACAATCTCCAGAGCGGCCGCTGCAAGCCAACACCCACCTCCCCACCCCCAACCTCAGATCTCCACTAAACATCTACCCTGCCTGAAGGCACGAGACGCTGGGGGGTGTCCGCGCTGGCTCCACATCCTCGCGCGGCAGAGATAAACCGCTTCCAGTCCTCCCAGGCCTTACCTGGGATCTGACATTTGTTTGCAACTCAGCTGCCGCGGTTTTCCAGAGGCTTTGCTTCCGGACGAGGGTACCCCTACCCCAGAGAAGAAACCAGTAGGAAACTGCTCCGCCGTAGGACACACAGGGGGCCGCCATGTTAGCTGTGGGAGATCCAGGGCCGCAGGGGTGACGGGGCGGGGCCTAGAGACGGCGCAGGCGCTAATGGGCGCGGGGCTCCAGAGGCTGTCCTGAGCAAGAGCTTCTAGGGCCTTTGGATCGGGGGGCGTGTCCCGCGACCCGAGACGGCAAGTCGCTGATTGGGTGCATGGAGTGCGCGGGCCGTATCCGACTCCACCCCTGGCTGGTGTCGCCCTCAAGAAGGAGCGCTAGTGGGTAGTTTATCGCGGCCGCTTTCTCTTCACGTCCTGAATTCTGTCTCTTTGGAACTCACTTCCACGCTCTCCTAGTCTCTTTGGCGCTCACTTCCACGTGGCACTTTAGCCAGCCCTTCCCTCCCAGCCCCCTTGCTGCATCTCGAGCGGGCTCTTCCTCCACCTTGGCAGGGCGGCCGGGGCCCCAGATGGATTCCAAGCATTGCTTCCTGTGTGTCTTATCCTAGTAGGGGTTTTCCCCTCCTCTAACTTTCCACGTTCTTCTGGATCCAAGTCAAGACTCTCCTGCAGCAGCTGTCAAACTGGCACTTTCCTGCGTTGTTTCTTAACTGTACAGGATAAACCTTAAACCGGTGAGGTCAAACACTACCTTTCTCGTTTTTGCACGTCCCTACCTAAGCGTTGGTACTAAGCCTTACTTGAAAGCCAATCAGAACTGATCAATTGTTAGAGATGAGTATGTCTTGCTTTCTGAAACTTGCGTGCTCCTGACGGTTAACTCCCAGGGCGCTTTCTACGAAACACATATTAAATGATGTAGTAACACACTTTAAAAGGGTTTACAAACACTTAGATTTGAAGGGTCAGTAAAAGTAAAACACAGAAAATCGGAGATTGTATAAAGTTGTCAAGCAAACACCCTGTACTATCACCATCATTTCACGAAACAACTTTTTAACATTAAAAAGGTAGAATGACATAATTTCACAATAAATAAAAATCTTTTAAATGGAATACATTTACTTGTATAAAATGCTCATCCTGTTGTTCTTTCTGTTATTAGCTTTTAGACTAGCAAAAAATATCATGAGAAATTGGCAGAGGTCAGAGGACTAAACTCTGATTTTTTTATCTTGCCCAAATTCCTATCTACGGGGTTTAGGGAGTCATGCCCTACAAATCATAAATTCTTATCAGATGGGTTTTACTTAACCCTATATATGGTGACTTACTTTCCAACCTGACTCTGGCATAACATTACGAGACAAGGAAGAAAATCAAAATATTTTACCCCAAAACATGTTTCTTTGCCATATCTTGAAATGGCCCTGCAAAGCTGTCCTTGGAGGGGTGGGATATGCATCCGTAAAGAATCTCTGTTAACATAGCTAGATCTTTTTCTTCCAGACCCTCCCAATCCTAAAGAGATTAACTAAGATCTGAATAGGAAACATTGGTCATCCATTGTCTCTAAGGGCAGCCACTATAAGGCTTCTAAAGAACTTTGGTCTCCACAATCTTTATCTTAAACTGAACATTCCCTTTCTATCAGTCCCAGGTCTTTCTGGACCAAACCAATGTATTTCTTAAATGTATTTGATTGATGTCTCATGCCTCCCTAAAATGTATAAAACCAAGCTGTGCCCCAACCACCTTGGGCACATGTTCTCAGGACCTCCTGAGGGCTATGTCACAGGCCATGATCACTCATATTTGACTCAGAATAAGTCTCTTCAAAATATTTTACAGAGTTTGACTCTTTTTGTCGACAGATGGATAAAGTAGCTTTTGGGAATCAAGACTTTATTTATTTATTTTATTTATTTATTTTGAGATGGAATTTCACTGTTGTCGCCCAGGCTGCAGTGCAGTGGTGTGATCTCGGCTCACTGCACCTTCTGCCTCCCGGGTTCAAGCAATTCTCCTGCCTCAGCCTCCTGAGTAGCTGGGATTACAGGTGGCCACCACCACGCCCAGCTAATTTTTGTATTTTTAGTGCAGATGAGGTTTTGCCATGTTGGCCAGGCTGGTCTCGAACTCCTGAACTCAGATGATCCACCCACTTTGGCCTCCCAAAGTGCTGGGATTACAGGCATGAGCCCAGCCGAGAACCAAGACTTTATAGCTCATTAAAATAGATGTCTTTAAACAGTAGTTCCTACACATTGTGAGATTATTTTAAATTTTTTTTTTAATTTTAATTGTGGAAATTTAACCAAGTAGAAAACAGTAAGTATGTGGAAGCAGGATTTATACTATTAAAAAATTATTGATATTAAACCATATAAAAACTAAGTACTAAAATTAAGGTTAGGAGTGGTGGAGATTTTTCCTTTTTCTGAAATTCATGTCACAGTTCTTTACTAGAATGCTGTCATGCACTGCATTATGCAGTTTTGGTCAACAGTGACCTTCACATAAGACAGTGGTCCCATAAAATTATAACAGAGCTAAAAAGTTGCTATCTCCTAATGACCTTATAGCCATCAAGACATCATAGTAAGGGAGGAGAGCACCCTTCATATTGTCTTATGCCCAATTTGTGCCTCCAAAGAAAGAAGAAGTAAAAACTAAAAGGCAGAAGTGGAATCCACAGGCAGATAGCCCAGCACTGTGCCCTGCGCCTGGTAGTTAAAAATCAACCCCTAACCTAACTGCTTGTATTATCTATAGATTTCAGACATTGTATGGAAAAGCATCGTGAAAATCCCTGTCCTGTTCTGTTCCGTTCTGATGACTGGTGCATGCAGCCCCCACTCACGTACCCCCTGCTTGCTGAATCAATCATGACCCTCTCACGTGGACCACCTTAGAGTAGTCAGCCCTTAAAAGGGATAGGAATTGCTCACTCGGGGAGCTCGGTTTTCGGAGATGTGAGTCCGCCAATGCTCCCAGCTGAATAAAGCCCTTTCCTTCTACAGCTCGGTGTCTGAGGGGTTCTTGTCTGCAGCTCGTCCTGCTACAATAGTACAACGCATTGTTTACCCGTTTGTGGTGATGATAGTGTAAACAAATCTATGCACAGCCAGTCCTATTAAAGGACATACAATTATGTACAATACATAATACATGATAAGGAACTATGTTACTGGTTTATTTATTTACCAGGCTATACCTTATAGTTTTTATTGTTAATTTGGAGTGTACTCCTTCTACTTATAAAAATAAAAAGTTAGCTGTAAAACAAACTCAGGTAGATCCTTCAGGAGATATTCTAGAAGGCGTTATTGTCATAGGAGCTCCATACGTGTTACTGCTCCTGAAGACCTTCCAGTGGGACACACTGTGGAGGTGGAAGACGGTGACGTTGGTGATCCTGACCCTGTGTAGGATAATGTGTGTATTTGTGTCTTTATTTTTAACAGGCAAGTTTAAAAAGCTAAAAAAAATATTAAAGAATAAAAAAAGCTTATAGAAGAATAAGGATATAAAGAAAGAAAAGGAATATAAAGAAAGAAAATGTTTTTGTATGCCTGTACAGTGTGCTTATGTTTTAAGCTAAGTGTTACTATAAAAGAGTCAAAAACTTTTAAAATATTAAAAAGTTTATGAAGTTAAAAAGTTATAGTAAGCTAAGGTGAATTTCTTATTGAAGAAAGACAGGTTTTTAATAAATTTATTGTAGCCTAAGTGTATTGTGTTTGTAAAGTCTACAGTAGTAAACAGCAATGTTCTAGGCCTTCACATTCACTTACCACTCACTCACTGACTCACCCAGAGCAACTTACAGCCTTGCAAGCTCTGTCCATGGTTAGTGTCCTATGCAAATGTACCATTTTTACCTTTTATACAGTATTTTTACTGTACCTTTTCTATGTTTAGATACACATTTACTTATCATTGAGTTACAGTTGCCTACAGCATTCCAGTAACATGCTGTGCAGATTTGTTTCCTGGGAATAATAGGCTGTACCATACAGCCAAGATGTATAGAAGGCTACACCATTGAGATGTGTGTAACTACACTCAATGATGTTTGCACAGTGACGGAATCACCTAACGACACATTTCTCAGAATGCATGATTGTAGATTGTACAGTAAAGCGAATGTAGTACATTTTCCGTCTCTAGGGGCAATGCTTGTACTCCTGCATTAAATTTCCTGTGTAGCCTTTGAATTTGGGAAGAAATGCACTGCTAAATGTTCACATTAGGTTCATAATTTGGAGACATAGGAAAGATTGAAATGTGCTGATTAATCTTTAAAATATGAAAAAAAAAAAAAGGAGGCCGGGCATGGTGGCTCACACCTGTAATCCCAGCACTTTGGGAGGCTGAGGCGGGTGGATCACCTGAGGTCAGGAGTTCAAGACCAGCCTGGGCAACATGGTGAAACCCCGTCTCTACTACAAATACAAAAATTAGCTAGGAGCAGTGGAACGCGCTTGTAATCCCAGCTTCTCAGGAGGCTGAGGCAGGAGAATCACTTGAGCCCGGGAGGCAGAAGTTGCAGTGAGCCGAGATTGCACCATTGCACTCCAGACTGGGTGACAGAGCGAGACTCTGTCTCAAAAAAAACAAAAAAGAAAAGAAATGTACTCATGTACTTTACCAAATGGCTAAAGCTTAGATTCTTTTCATTTTGTTCTCACTTTTTGAGCACCTATTGTAGGCATCAGGAATCCTAGGTCCTAAAAATCCAATATAGTGGGGTCATGTCTAATGTGAGGGTTTTGTTCTAAAGTCAGCTTGTTAGATGAGCATCAGGAAAATCAGTGTTGTACTAACACCAAGTGTTGCTGAGATGTGGGATAGCAGGAACTATTAGATGCTGCTGATAGGAGTGTAAATTGGTACAACTCATGAAATCAACCAGGTAATTAGTAACCTATTCAACTTAAGATGAGCACACCCAACAATTCATCAATTACATTCCTAGATACATACCCTGCAGAAGGTCTTACACAGTGCATCAGGAGACATGTATCAGGATGTTCATAGCAACATTTTTATTTTGGTAACAACAAAAATAACCTGTCTGTTGATAGGAGGATGGATGGACAAAAGAGCACCATACAGCAATGAGAACGAATGAACTTTAACTATACATATGAATATGGTTGAGTTTCACCAGTACAGCAAAAACTAGGAAGTCACATATGCATAGCCACAGTAGGATTCCATTTACAAAAAATAGGCAAAAGTAAGCAAGAT